CCACAGTTTAACTGTATACAATGTACTGGGAATGTTTTGGCCACAGTTTAACTGTATACAATGTACTGGGAATGTTTTGACCACAGTTTAACTGTATACAATGTACTGGGAATGTTTTGGCCACAGTTAAACTATCGCCCTTTCCACTCTCCATCATTACAGTTAACATTAGAAAACAACATTATAAACCTAGTAAACAAATGTGAAGGGCAAAATTAACACTATGTAAATATAGGTAAATACAGGTAAATATAGGTAAATACAGGTAAATACAGGTAAATATAGGTAAATATAGGTAAATACAGGTAAATTAGGTAAATATTGGTAAATATAGGTAAATATAGGTAAATATAGGTAAATACAGGTAAATACAGGTAAATTAGGTAAATATTGGTAAATACAGGTAAATATAGGTAAATACAGGAAAATATAGGTAAATACAGGTAAATATAGGTAAATACAGGTAAACATAGGTAAAGATGACCATGACAATGTCGTGCTGGGTTTAACCGATTTAATCAAGAATATGTTGACTCGTTTCAACACATGTGTCCAAACTAGTCAACGTATTCTTGATTAAAGCCGTTCAGCCCAGCCCGACGTTGTCATGGTCATCGTTACCTATTGATAACGCTACTACTACGGCCAGACTTGTGTATTCCTTGTGGAATCCATCTGCTGGGTAACACAGAACTCCACTGAACTATTGCACGGACGTTGGATCTCCCACTCCCCGTACTGGGTAAATAGGAACTTTACCGACGTAGGGTAAACATTTAGACTGCACAAGAGTTTTACAGTTAACATGAAAAAACATTGAAGGTTCTCTACATGTCATCTCGCAGATAATACAACTTAACCAGTCTAGAAATCTGTTATGGATTCCTGCGAACTTTTGATCTCTGAGATACAAGGAAAAAGGAATTGCATGACAGTTTAATGTTATCAGCCGAACGCTTGGTCGGTTTTTTGTTTGGCTAACTGTGAGCCTCTGATTTTATCAAGACATTTTCCAAGCATACAGAGAAGATATGTATATTGAAAGCAGAAACCTTGGATTTTTAAGATGATATTTCTTCAAAGTTTAAATATTAGATAGTATGATGCTAAATGTCCAATTAAAATATATCAATGGTCTGTTTAAGTTTAAGATTAATGTTTTTTAATAACTTAATTGTAGGTCAGAATGCATGTTCTATCAAAGCAATAACAATACAAACAGAAGTTGATTCCATTGTACATCACATGGCCTTATTGTAGGTACATTATTAGTGTAGGTACATCACATGGCCTTATTGTACATCACATGGCCTTATTGTACATCACATGGCCTTATCGTAGGGACATTACTAGTGTAGGTACATCACATGGCCTTATTGTAGGGACATTACTAGTGTAGGTACATCACATGGCCTTATAGTAGGGACATCACTAGTGTAGGTACATCACATGGCCTTATCGTAGGGACATTACTAGTGTAGGTACATCACATGGCCTTATTGTAGGGACATAACTAGTGTAGGTACATCACATGGCCTTATTGTAGGGACATTACTAGTGTAGGTACATCACATGGCCTTACTGTAGGGACATTTCTAGTGTACCTTTCAATCCCTTTAATTTGTGCATTGTGTACTATGTGAAAGATTTCAATAATAATAATCAGCAGTAAATTATTTGAGTTTGATGTGATCAGTATTAATAATTTCATTTTTATTTGATCAGTGGTAAGGAGATAAGCTAATGATATAATGACATCAGCTGTGATAAAGCTGTGATGATGCTAGTGAGATACGTACCGCTAAGATCTTCTCAAATGTCCTCAGGCACTGCAACGCCAACTGAAAACGATCAGCAAACAATTCAGGTATGAGTTACTGATTCCCAGTTAACATATAAACAGGGATGTGATTGAGATTTGACAAAAGGAGGAAATGAAAGTGAAAAGGGAGGAACACACCTAACCCCCAAAGAAATTGAATTTTTTAACACTTCAGATCAATCACGAACTTTTCAAATCATAGTAAAAGGGTAGATCATCTAAAAAGAGCAGGAATCACATCCCTGATCTAAAGTGAGCTTATTCTCTAATATCTGTTGTTCTAATGGACTAATCAGCACCCTTGACTATATCCTCTTACTGTACGGGAGTTTCTGTAGGGGAAACAACTCTATTGTGATCAAGGATCATTCCAAACCAACATAATTAATGTCAACTTACTTGTTTACAAAGAAAGTTTGTGAAATGAAAATAAGTACATCAACCTTGTTTAAATGTATTGGGAAAATTTGTAACGTGCCCATCATTTTATCTTTAGAGAGACACTTCTTTTGTATGGTAATGACCAAGTTATTTTTTAAGAATAAAAAATCTTCTATAATATTATTTAGAATGTCATCAATACCGTACTCTTTGGAGTGACACATGCCATACAGCAAAGCTCACCTCTCTGGTTGGGACAACTACCAATGCGTAAGGGCCATCATTCCGTTGGACTTTTGGGGTCAAAGCTTGTAGTGCCTGAACTATCGGGACAGCGAAAGCTAGAGTCTTCCCTAGGAACATGAGATACAAACTGAAGTATGACAATGATAAGGTAGGACAGCTTAATAAATTGGGTAAATTTGAAGTAATTCTTGTGTATATGATATGGGAATTATTTTCAAACTGAGCAAAAAACAATCAAATTATTTTCTGACATAAATTTTCGATACCAAGATATTTCCCTGGTAAACAAGAAAGAAATGATCAGTCATATTTGTTGCATCCAAATTATTCAAACATGACTTCACTAAATCTAGCAATATTATATGCATATTGGAAATAATTTAAAATTGCTGAAAAAATTACTTCACTATTCAATATCACTTTTCAGTATGGTTAAATACTCAAATGGAAGTGTGGACTCAGTATGAATTGTCAAGGTCATCTGAGTTATGAAACTTACTTGCAGTATTTTCACATCAGGTATAATATTTACCTATTTATGACATTAGTTGGTAATGAGTTACCCATTCAGTAAGTTGACCTTTACCTACCTGAACCTGTCTGTGACTTGACCAGTGTGTCAGCACCAATCATTATGTGAGGAATGGACTTCTGCTGGACACTGGTCATCTGTGTGATCTCCATCTTATTCTCTAGGGTGCTGACCTACATACAATGAACATGGTATAGTTATTAGTTAGACATCATCTTTATAATTGAGAGGGACATCTTGTACATGTAAATCCAGACAGATATGCTGTTTGAATTCACTGCTGATGGTACAGTTAGCTCTGACCTGCCCCCAAATGACATGTTTGTTCATTTAAGGAATGAAATATATTTGTTCAACAGTGAGGTCATCACAACATTGGCTTTCTGGACATATTCCATGAATCAATGGGTCCAAGCGTACAGAAATATTTGTTAATCAGCTTACCAGGTGAGGATGGATTCCAAGGTCTTTGAATGTTTTAGAGGAGAATAGAACTTCCTTGATCTGGTCCATGGACACACTGTAACAAAAACATAGATCTAAAAAGTACTTGTTAAGATAATACAGGGAGGTGAATAGATACAGCAATGACCATTGCTTCAATGGAGGGGTTTGATCATAGACCTGTACATGTTACTACTGAACACTATGACAGAACCAAAAAATATTTTTTCTAAACCTCATAGTTATCTGATAAATATATTTCTTTTACTAATGTTTGACATTTTATTTTGACAAAAATGTGTAATCTTTGTTAAAATGTGTTATTGTGTTATCTTTGTTAAAATGTGTTGTCTTTGTTAAAATGTGTTATCTTTCAAGTAAAAAATGTCCAATAACCAGTACCTGAAAGTTTTCTGACAAAGATTCTGAGATTTACAAACACATGGTTTCAATAAACTGTCTAAATCTTTCAAACCTGTAGCAGTGGAAATCATCATCATCAAAATATGAATGATAATGAATGGAGACATGACAACTAAATGAACTTTTAAGCATTTTTGGTTAAAAATATGTCATCAGAGTTATAGGCATTTTTCGTATATTTCAGTCCTAGAGATAGAACATCTTTTCATGAAACAATTTTGATCAATTTTCTTTTTTTAACAAATTGACGGATTGTTTGGACACATGCTTTTATTCACAGAAATAAAATTTAAACAGTTATACATACCAACATATAATGAATGATCATTATCTTGAGCTTAAATGCCCATACCTGTTTGTTGTGTAACAGCTACGGAATATGAAGGGAAAATACTGCCTTACTGGCAAGCTAGCCTTTCCAGTGATGCAGTATAACCCAGGGACCCGCTCATTAGTTCAGCAACGTCGAGCGTGGTCAGTAGTTGGATGAGTGACCGCCCGCAAGTTAGTTGTGCATTGTTCAGTTTTCTGTACCCTACCCTGTATCAACTCTCAACCAATATCAGACCATGTCCTCCCAGCCCCTCAGGCTGATACGGTGGTCTCATATTGATAATGGTCATATAATAACCTCAAAATATTTGTAGCCGGGTGTAACAAACAGGTACGTCACCTGTTTGTCCCAACGCGTGCAATTGTGCATGTAACGAAGGTAGCACGGACTTCTGTCCCATGTCACCTGGGTACTGTCACGTGGTTGGGGCTATGCCCCGGCTACAGGTGACCAACATAGGCATTCCGACGGCACCCCTGCACGAGAGCAGACGTACCATAAATATATCACAGCTAGTAAGCTTCCTGGTGTGCCTGGTCAGCATTCATCATCATGTTATCTGTTCACATATATCTTATGAATATGTTGTGAGTATGATAGGTGAGAGGAATGAATAGGTACGAGTCCGGAATGAGAGTGTGGGGTGAGTGACTGTGTATAATGTAGTGTAATTACATGTTGTAGGCTTCCCTTCACCTGGAATAAACCTATATTTAAGAGAAGCATTGGAGTTGTAGTTCTTTTACCTCGTCCAATTGTCTACAATGGCGCCCAACGTGGGCTCGGGAGATTTGACAAATTTACTCAGTGATACTTTCACAAGAATTGCTATGACCCCTGGAAAACTCAAACGAGTTCTTTCCTGGAGGGCGAGTATGTAACCCTGGTAAAATACTAGCCGCTTCCTGCCGACTCGGTAGGGAGAATTTCTCCTTAGCTCATTCGGTAGAGCGTAAGACTTGTAAGTTATTTTACCTTTCCACATGTGGTATGTGTGGTTAGATGTAATCAGACGTGTATATTACTATTTTACCTTTCCACGTGTGGTATGTTTGGGTTAGATGTTATCAGATGTGTATATTACTATTTTACCTTTCCACGTGTGGTATGTGTGGTTAGATGTTATCAGACGTGTATATTACTATTTTACCTTTCCACGTGTGGTATGTGTGGGTTAGATGTGTATATTACTATTTTACCTTTCCATGTGTGGTACGTGTGGTTAGATGTAAACAGACGTGTATATTACTATTTTACCTTTCCACGTGTGGTATGTGTGGTTAGATGTAATCAGACCTGTATATTACTATTTTACCTTTCCACGTGTGGTATGTGTGGGTTGAAGCTAAAAAGTGAGGAGATGATGGGACCGATCTTCTGTTTCTTGTTAGCAGGATCAGCATCTGCTGCAGTTTGTGATGCTTTACGCTTGTTACTTTCATGTTGTCCTGTGTCAATGGCTTTTTCTTCCCGACTTTCTCCCTCCTTTTCTTCATGTTGTTTATTCACATTCAAATTCAATCCGTCATGTGTTTGATTTGTCGAGTGTCTATTTAGAAAGTGACTTTTTTCTGTTTTTCTTGGTCTAATCTTTTTTCGCTGAAAAAAACAACAACACAAGACTTTTGGTTAAATAAACTGATAAATGGAACATGAGAAACGAGTATAACAATTTTAACGACACCCTTCGAGTGATGAGCACAGGTACTGGCCTCGTCTGCTAGTATACCTATAGCATTATTATATTGACAGGCGAAGCCGTTATCTGTTGTACATGTCATAGTGGAATGAAAAGGCCCACAACATGCAATTTTATCAGATTATCAAGATTTTGTTAGCTTGCTCTTGAACTCCTATGCAGATATTATATCCTCGTGTCATCGGTTTCCGCGCACTAAAAAAACTGTTGAAATTACAGATGACTGTCATAGACATGTACACAATCAAATGATGGAAAGAAAAAACAAGCAAAATAAAACATTATTTTAAAAAAATCAGAACAAACAATTTATAACAAATTTCTCCCGTCGGAAGCAGCCGTCATATGTTTCCTATTTTGTGTTCAAAGAAAGATAACTTGAATACATTAAAAAGGAACTCCCCACAGTGAACCGCACAAACAAAAGCTTCGTTTGGCATTGAAAAAATTATCACTGATCGTCAAATTAATTAATATCAAAACATTTTTTTTTAAATTTCACATTGTTTTATAGATTTTTCAACGTGTCAACTTGACAAATCATGTCATTTTATAATGATTTTTTTGTGCAGTCTTATATCGGTTTTGGTTGATGGCAAGTTATTTCTCTTTTTATTCTGTTTAAAATTGGTAAAAAATTGGAAGTTCATCGCAAAGAGTCTTTATCGATATAAGAAAGTCTCCTCAGAAGTGGAAAAAATGGCGAAGAGATGTGGCTTCATTTGCATACAACATTTTCGTAGGTTTGTCAGACTACAAAAAAGACTGGGTCATGAATGAAATATTTCCCTGATTTTTCAAGTATGGGTTAATTTTGAGCAAGATAAAATGTGCATTAAGAAAAACTGCATATTTATGCGTGTTTTTCAGACCAGCTGTTCTCCACAAATTCATTTAATTAATTATAAGCCTATGTACATAGTTTTAATCACAATTTAAAATTCATGCACTCCAAATTCACTCATTTTAATTATTTTTGTATTATTGTAAATATATAGGCCACGCTGCGCAAAACAGTAAATAATCTTCAGATCATTGAAGGGCTACTGATAACCTAAAGAAGAAGAACTTCCAGTAATTTTTGTGTCAGTTTACTGACGATGGCCGAACGTCTAAATTATCCCTGTGTAGTGTCCATCAGTTCACGAAGTAACGAGATATAGGTTGATTAAATGGCTGCGCGGAAACATATAACGCGCGGAAACCTATGACTAGACGATATCTCATGTCTGATGGGCCGATGTACAGAGTCAGATGGGGACGTATATCGGCGGTCTTATGTTCATCAGGCCACCATCCCATCCATAGGTAAGCAAACATTACTGTCTTACCCGTATAATTGTTCTTGGTTCTCGATAAGTTTCCGATTCTTTTAAATATACGTTTAACTGCAGTTCTCCGTCTGTCATTTTAATGATGGTCTAATAACAAACCCACGTGTGTCATAACCCAAATAACGTTATCAGTAACTCTGCATCATGTGTGTTAATTTTTGCGTAAGTTTAAGTGCGTGAACTACAAATGTTCCCGGACCGGAAATGATCTTTTGTGTCAGAGGGTAGAAACGATGTCAACTTCCTTTATTGAAAAGACAGCAGTGTGTCAAAATTTAATCATTTATTTTCAATATGAACAGTTAGTAGTGCATCAAAACTGTTCAAATAACAAAGGAATGACTTCTTGAAAACGCTGATAAACATGTCGAAGACAGGAACATTACAAGAGCGACCTAAACCTCCTTCATTTGAACATATGAAACAGGATGTTGAAAATGCTTCGGAGAATGACGTCGTTTTTTTGGCTGGGAATAGTGAGTAATTTATATATGTTTATAACGTTTTCCTGGATATGACATTATCGATGACTTCATTATGTTCAAGTGAAATTACAGCGATGCACCATTAAAATCGGCAACACTTAAAAGCGTTTTCAAGTGACAACAAACGTCGCCTGACGAAATTTAATCTTCAAAAATACCCAATAAATTAAGCGACATCAGATGATATGTTTGTTCATATGATTATAAAACACATGTATACAAAATTTCAATTTGATATTTGAACAAGAGGCCTAATGTGCCGGCATCGCTCACCTGGTATACATTTTACACTTGTAACCTTAAAAGTGATCTAAAATAAAGCTACAGGCAAAATAGAAGTATTTATGATTAAAAGTCATTCAAAAGAACCTGTTAAAAGATTTAAAAACATTTCCCCCCCAGTGACCTTGAAAGTCGAACAAAGTCATTATGTAGGATGCAACTTGCAAAATAGCATTACCCTATCCTTTTGTTTATTGAAATTAGGTCATTTAAATGTTTATACATATATGACTAAATGTGACCTCGAAAGTGGGTCAAGGTCATTCAAATGAAAAAGCTTAATAGCCCTTCATCCAAGCATGCTACTGACTAAATACCAACATTCTGGGCCTCATTGTTATTCAGAATATTAAGTTGTTTAAAGATTAAAAAAAAAAAATTGACCCCTATGACCTTTGAAAATTTTAAGTCAAGGTTATTCACTTTAACAAACCTGGTAGCCCTTAATTCCAGCATGCTACTGACCAGATATCAACATCATAGGCCTGATGGTTTTTCAGAAGAAATTGTTTAAAGGTTTTAACATATTTGAGTGACCCCTGTGACTATGAATATAATTCAAGGTCATTCATTTGAACAAAGTTGGTAGCCCTTCATCCTAGCATGCTGCAGGCCAAATATCAACATCCTGGGCCTTTTGGTTTTTAAGAAGAGTTGTTTTAAGATTTTGAACATATTGGATTCTTGTGACCTTGAAAATAATTTGAGGTCATTCATTTGAACAAACTTAGTAGGCCTTCATCCTAACTGGCCAAATAACAACATCCTAGGCTTTTGATTATTCAGAAGAAGTTGTTTAAAGTTATTTTTAGACAATTGACCCCTGTGACCTTGAATATGAGTGAAAGTCATTCATTCGAACAAACTTGGTAGCTCTTTATCTCAGCATGTTACTGGCCAAAAATCATCACCCTGAGCATTTTAGTTATTCAGAAGAAGTTGTTGAAAGATTTTAACATATTTGACCCCTGTGACCTTGAATATAAGTCAAGGTCATTCAATTGAACAAATTGGTAGCCCTTCATCCCAGCATGTCCCTGGCCAAATATCATCACCCTGGGCCTTCACGTTATTCAGAAGAAGTTGTTGAAAGATTTGACATATTTGACCCCTGTGACCTTGAAAATAGGAAAAGGTCACTCATTTGAAAAACCTTGGTAGCCCTTCATCCCCGCATGCTACTGGCCAAATATCATCACCCTTAGCCTCTTGGTTATTCAGGAGAAGTNCTCATTTGAAAATCCTTGGTAGCCCTTCATCCCCGCATGCTACTGGCCAAATATCATCACCCTTGGCCTCTTGGTTATTCAGGAGAAGTTGTTTAAACTACTATTAATTAATAGTCGCTGGGTACGTTAACTTTTATGTTCTGAAAGTCTAACAAGGTCAATATTAATAGTACTTGCGTACTGTGCCCCTCTGTGATAACGTAGCTTCTGACAACAAGATTTTTTTTAACTATATTGCGTGCCGGGGCAGAGGAGGCCAGGTATGAATATTAGTACTAGTGTGCATTGACCTGTTACAGTTAACAAAGCATTACCAGACAAAACCTTTAACAAGAGGCACAGAGGGCCTGTATCGCTCACCTGTTTCTTTTGTTACATGAAACTGACATATAGGTAATTTAACACCAAATTTGGTAACTAGAACACAAGACATTTTAACATCTCTAAACGGTTCTGAAGATATTGTTGTTTGAAACTTAAAATTTTAATTTTAAAGCTTTTAACACACATTGACCTTTGACTCCTGACTTGCACTTAAAATTGATCTTTGACCTCATTACTGTTATAAAGAACACAATTCACACAGCTGGTTTACATAACATACCCAAGTATCATGACTAGTCCAAAGGTCAAGGTCATTTTAATACGTAAACTTTATAGCACTTCATCCCAGGTACCTACTGGCCAAATATCATGACCCNGTAGGTCAAGGTTATTTTAATACGTAAACTTTATAGCACTTCATCCCAGGTACCTACTGGCCAAATATCATGACCCTGTGCCTTATGGAACTTGAGAAGAAGATTGTTAAAGATTTTAACCCATGTTGACATTTGACTCCCGACTAGTACTTAAAGTTGACCTTTGACCTCATTTCTGTAATTTAGAAGAAAAAAAATGCACTGCTGGTCTACATAACATACCCAAGTATCATGACTCTAATTCAAATGTTTCTTAGGATATTGCTGTTTGAAATTTTTAACATATTTAAACCCTGTTACCTTGAAAGTAGGTCAAGATTATTTTAATGAGGAAAATTAATAGCACTCCATCCCAGATACCTACTGGCCAAATATCATGACCCTAGGTCCTACAGTTCTTCAGAAGAAGCCGTTCAAAAGAAAAAGTTAACGGACGCCGCAGTACGGCTCGAAGGGCCATGTGAGCTAAAAGCACTGTTTAAAGTAAGTGACATCAAAAGACATGAACAGAACATGACATCTGGTTGTATATTTGGAATATGCCACCTGCATATGGTCTCCAATGTTTAAAAAAGATCAAATTGACATTGAAAATGTCCAACACAGGGCAACAAGACGCCTACCATTCTTAAAAGGGCAATCCTACAGTGAAAGACTTTGTACACTGGGCCTCCCCAGTTTAGAATATAGAAGATTGAGAGGAGATGTTGTACAAATCTATAAAATCACCAATGACATTGACATTTTGGACCAGGACAAAATTATTAAAATGGCTACATTGGTTACAACAACAGGAAATTCCTAAAAGCTTTTCAAGAGAAGGATGAGGCTCAACATAACCAAGAACCTGTACAGTAGTAGGGTCGTGAACGTGTGGAACTCTCTCCCAAATACAGTTGTAGAAGCCCCCTCCCTAAATAGTTTTAAATCACGGCTAAACAATCACTGGCATCATCATCACCAAAAATTTGTACCTACATGTTACTCACAACCGGACATAATTATAGAGCAGTATCAAGAGCATCCCAAGAAGCTGGATCAGCTTACATGGACGTCGACACTACCTGAAAACATATACCTTGAACAAATATCCTTGTTTATGTGATCTATGTATATATATGTATACCAAACTTATCAAGCATTACAATTATCTGACCTTTTGCCTTTGACCTTAGGTTACAGACTTGAGAGTTATGTGCAACATGCATCCTAATTAGTCATGATAGATCATCATCATTGATTGAGGACAGAAATTTATGAAGATCTACTGATATTTATTTGCACAAATGTACATCATCACTAACATGTAGTAGTGTTGTATTTTGATTTGTTTTAGAGTTGGGGTTAGGGTTAGGGTTAGGGTTGCATGGGCAAAAAAACAAGGGTAGGAAGGTCGATATTTTGTTTTTTTGTCTATTTTTGTGTATCGTGTGGTCATGTGATTATGACCCTACTATTGGAGCTGGAAGCCATTTTGAAAGGCAAGGAACCTTCTAAAATTCGAAAATCTGCGATTTTTTTCTTCTTTTTTTCGTCAAAAAGTTTTGGGCCGGGGTAAAAAGCTAGGGTCGGTCGGGAACCCTAATTAAACAGACATATATTTTGTTTTGGCCTCATGACTATGACAAAATGGTTATGATGTTTCTACTAAGGAGGCACTAGCATGAAGATAAAATAATTCATTTTTATACAGCTAATACTAGAACATTAAATGTCAATGATTGAATCTGTGCATAATTTAAATCATCCATTTATTAGCTAAATAGATTTTTTTGTCTTTTCAGATGCTTTGAGTCAGAGTAATATTGCAATGATTGAGTCTTTTATGGAGTTATCACCCTTGGACCAAAAAGCCTCTAATGAAAAAATGTCTGGAGGTGCAGATCGGACAGGTGTTACTGAGGGGGTGGAAAAATCTTACCAAGATACACTAGAGCTGCTAAGACTCAATAAGATGCTGGCTCGTGCTCCACAGGAGTTAGAGGACAAGTACAACAGTTTACAACAGTTGGGAGAGGATATCACTGCGTCCATATCTAAACTTCAGAAATCTACAGAGGCCATCAAACAGTGACATCTATAATAACAAAAATATACATAGAGGCCATCAAACAGTGACATCTATAATAACAAAAATATACATAGAGGCCATCACACAGTGACATGACATCTATAATAACAAAAATCTACAGAGGCCATCAAACAGTGACATGACATCTATAATAACAAAAATCTACAGAGGCCATCAAACAGTGACATCTATAATAACAAAAATATACATAGAGGCCATCAAACAGTGACATGACATCTATAATAACAAAAATCTACACAGGCTATCAAACAGTGACATGTTTTAACTTTATTATCCTACAAAGGCCATATATTCCTTAATGTCACACCATATTTATAATAAATTTTCTTGTTGTTAATCGGAGTTTTGAACCTATTTTGTGGACTGGGATGTACTTCAGGTGTTCCAAAATAAAACAAGACTAACTGCTCACAATAAAATGTTTATTAATGCTGAATTCAAATTAATACAGTCATTAAGCACACTCGCATACTGCATACACATGCTTAAATATTGGGAAATTATTTTGACCAAAGTCACATATAATATCGACTATGGCCGTCACCTTGTCAGCCCTCCAAACTGACCTTTGTGGCATAGTGTTACATGTTCATTATAACCACTTGTATCTTCATACTAGATAAACAAAGGTTACTTGAACATAAATAGTAACCTTGACTTTCATTCTATGATAACAATGTACAGATGTACATGTAAGTACAGCCTCCTTTATCACCTTTTGTTACCGGTATGTAAAAGCCAAGGAATACGAGGAGAACACACTGTCTTGGTGGCAAGCTAGCTTTCCCAGTGATGCACTTCAAATCCTGGTACTCGCTCAATAACAGTTTTCAAACTTAATGGTAGACCGATAAACAATCACTGTGAAAAAGATTAGAGTAGCAGTGGTCCTGAGAACCACTGTTCTACCTTATTGTTACCAAATTTCTAAATTTCATTACATTGATAAATAACTTTGTAAATAACATGTTCTACGTCAAGTTCTAATCTATGAACATTTTAGTAGGTGTGCAAGATATCTACGGTCCCATTGTCTATACCTTAGGATCTCAAACCTTGTAAGAGCCTGCAAAAAGATACAATTTGATGCACCTTAGGATCTTTCTGTTCATGAAGATAATTTGATTCTTGCATATCTGGGCCTGAAGAAGATTGGTGAAATTTTTGCCAGTTTGACCTTTTTGACTCGGACCCTTGGCAGCTTAATTTTCATACTATCAAACTGCAATCACATGGTAAAAATTCAAGCCTGGTTTGAAATATTTCCCGCTGAAAATAACACAGTAACATACCCCTCCCCAATGGGGAATGAGTGACCCTGGGGTAAAGAAATTCAGACTCTTGATAAAGAACCTTGGTACCTTTCTATCCATGAAGAAAACTCTACAAATTATCAAGAAGAAGATAGTTGAAATTGTAGCCAATTGGACTCCTTTTGGCCACTTTAGGTGAGAAGCATATGATTTGGTTCATCTTTGACTGCTTGAAGCTGCTTTAGTGGTTTTGGAGAAGAATGCCAAAATTGGAATTGTTCACGAACGCATGACGACAGAAAAAAGACAATCACAATAGGTAAACTGAGACTTTGTCTCGGGTGACCTCAAAATAATTTGGAAGTTGACATATCAACAATTTATTGCACAATGGAAACCTTTGTTAATATCTTACAAAATGATAAAGATACATAGACCAGTCATGTTTTACCTAGTTATTGGTGTACATACAGAATGATAAAGATACATAGACCAGTCATGTTTTACCTAGTTATTGACATACAGAATGAATCCTCAAAGAATGAGACATTACATACCAACATGTTAGCTAGTTTCTATATCATGTAAAACCAAACTTGGGAACCCTTGAGCTTCAGTATTAGAGTATTACCCCAGGTGTGGTTAACTGACTGGAAGTCACTCACACATTTACAGACTTCCATCTATCAGTAGTAAGATTATATCAAAATGCATGCAGTCCTTGTTATACAAATCACAGGTCTCTGACATCTAGTTATACACTCTGAAATGGAAGATTGAAACCATGTTACAAGTTATTACTTTTTCTAAATACCACATGTAGGATCATGATTTCAGTGATTCATAAAAAAACCAAAGTATAGTAAAGATGTGTCTAGTAATGCTAATGCGTCTACTGTAGATTGTTGTGTCTACTGTAAATTGGTGTGTCAACTGTAGATTGGTGTGTCTACTGTAGATTGGTGTGTCTACTGTAGATTGGTGTCTACTGTGGATTGGTATGGGTCTACTGTAGATTGTTGTGTCTACTGTAGATTGGTGTGTCTACCGTAGATTGGGGTGTCAACTGTAGATTGGTGTGTCAACTGTAGATTGGTACGTCTTAAGTAGATTGGTATGTCAACTGTAGAGTGGTATGTCTACAGTAGATTGGTATGTCTACTGTAGATTGGTGTGTCAACTGTAGATTTGTGTGTCTTCCGTAGATTGGTGTGACACCCGTAGATTGGTGTGTCTTCAGTAGATTGGTATGTCTACCGTAGGTTGGTGTATCTACCGTAGGTTGGTGTGTCTACTGTAGGTTGGTGTGTCTACCGTAGATTGGTGTGTCAACCGTAGATTGGGGTGTCAACTGTAGATTGATGTTGCAACTGTAGATTGGTGTGTCAACTGTAGATTGGTATGTCTACTGTAGATTGGTGTGTCAACTGTAGATTGATGTTGCAACTGTAGATTGGTGTGTCTACTGTAGATTGGTATGTCTACTGTAGATTGTTGTGTCTACTGTAAATTGATGTGTCTACTATAGATTGGTGTGTCTACTGTAGATTGGTATGTCTACTGTAGATTGTTGTGTCTACTGTAAATTGATGTGTCTACTATAGATTGGTGTGTCTACTGTAGATTGGTATGTCTACTGTAGATTAGTGTGTCTACCGTAGATTGGTGTGTCTACTGTAGATTGGTGTGTCAACTGTAGATTGGTGTGTCTACTGTAGATTGGGATGTCTACTGTAGATTGGTGTGTCAACTGTAGATTGGTGTGTCTACTGTAGATTGGTATGTCTACTGTAGATTGGTGTGTCTACTGTAGATTGGTGTGTCAACTGTAGATTGATGTTGCAACTGTAGATTGGTGTGTCAACTGTAGATTGGTGTGTCTACTGTAGATTAGTGTGTCTACTGTAGATTGGTGTGTCTACTGAGATTGGTATGTCTACCGTAGATTGGTATGTCTACCGTTGATTGGTATGTCTACCGTAGATTGGTGTGTCTACTGTAGATTGGTGTGTCTACCCTAGATTGGTGTGTCAACTGTAGATTGGTGTGTCAACTGTAGATTGGTGTGTC